CCATCTCTAGTATTTTGAATCCTCTAGTAATTATCAGATTTAGATAGGATCTACTAATTTTATACTCAAATAATTACCTCATGTAAGTGAAATCATGCAGTATTCATCTTTTTGCAACTGTCTTATTTAACTTAGCATGATTTCCTCAAGGTTCATCCATGTTGTAACTTGTGTGAGAATTTCCTTCCTTTTTAAGGCTGAATAATATTCCATTGAATATATATACCACATTCTGTTTATTCATTCTTCTGTAGAGGAACACTTGGGTTGCTTCTGCATTTTAGCTATTATGAACAATGCTGCTGTGAACCTAAGTGTACAAATATTTCTTTGAGATCTTTCTTTGAATTATTTTAGATATAGACCTATTAGGTTGATGCAAAAGTAATTCCGGTTTTTGTTATTACTTTTAATGGCAAAAATCACAATTACTTTTGCACCAACTTATAGATGCAGAATTGCTAGATCCTATGGTAATTCTATTCTCAATGTTTTGAGGAACCATCATTCTGTTTTCCGCAGTAGCTGTACCATTTTAAATTCCCACCAACAGGGCACAAGAGTTGCAATTCCTGTGTATCCTCATTAATACTTGCTTTTTTCTATGGTGTTTTGATAGTAGCCATCCTACTGGGTGTGAAGTGTTACCTCACTGTGGTTTCGATTTGTGTTTCCCTAATGTTTAGTGATGTTGAGTATCTTTTCGTGTGTTTATTGGTTATTTGTATGTGTTCTTTGGAGAAATGCCTATTCAAGTCTTTTGCCCATTTTTAAATTAGGCTCTTTGGTTTTGAATTTTAGCTCTTTATATACTCAAGGTATTAATCCCTTATCAGATACATGATTTATAAATATCTGCTCTCACATTGAGGATTACCTTTTCACTCTGTTGATGATTACATTATTTCTTACAGCAAATTTTGGGGGCGAATTGTCTCCCCAGAAAATGGAGAAATTATGTCCAAATTTTTTAAAGGTAGGAAACAGGATGACTAAGGTTTCAGGTCTAGGAGGAAAAATACAAATTCTCCAGCTATAGAAATGGCCTTTGACCTGATTAGGTACCTCACAGTAATGCAAAACTGAACCTATTTTAAAGCCACCTTTTCTGTACAATGCTGCTATTGTGTGGTTGGTGGTACAAATTTAGCTAACCCTACAAAATCCACTTCCCTAGACACAGCCTGCAAGCTTTCTCTGACCGCTGTGGTAAAGTACCACAATGGCACTCATTAGTCAAACATCACTCTCAGTAGTCTCATTCCCCCAGAGGCACACACTGAAAGAGAGAAGTTTTCCTCTGGGGTCTTGTGCTTTTGTGTTCATAGTCCTGTAAGTCACAGCAAAGAACGAGAAAAACACAGGAGAAAATGAAAATGTCCACAGGAAACAGCCAACTGTACAGAGACCAAGTTTTGGGAAAACCTAAAAGGGGCTTTGTTTCTCTACAGGGGTAAAGGACAAGAATGCAGTCAGCTCAGGTTTATACCAGGATGAAGTGAAATGGGTGGAAAGATGCCTGAGGTTTCTACCTTAGGTAAGTTGGTAGCCCTCAGTTTCCCCACATGAGCAGGTGAAACTGGCAGAGACTGCAGTCTCTTTCAGTCTTTGTAGTCTGTCTTTGGGGAAAACCAGGAGGTCACCAGCACAGAATATTTGTGTGAAGCCATGTGTGTCCTCCCCAAAGGGGAGAAAATTGCAGGCAAGCTCAGCGTCGGAGTGACCGGGGAATAGTGAGAGCTCCCAGCCCAGGAGAGCAGGCCCCTAACAAGAAGCCCTTATGAGGGCAGGTACGTGTGCACAGTATGTCCTAAAACGGGCTGTCGAAAGAGGGGAAAGAGTACCCTGAGGGTGTGTTTTGGAGAGGACAGTGGTTTCAAAAAACAAACTTTGCTTTGGAACTCCAGAGGAATAAGGACAGGGAATCCCCTCCAACTATATGTGGACAACATTCACAGCAGACCCCTCAGCTCCCAGATCCAAAAAGGGTAACTACGTCCAACAGGGATGGCCAGATGGCATATCTGAACCTGATGTGCAGTTCTGAGAGAGAATCCATTATTGTATTTAGCATTTCAATAAACTGATTGGACTTAAACAACCATTCATGGACCACACATGGCCTGACCACTCACTATGTACCTGTTACACTCAGGACATCTTATTCCCTTCCTGCCTCTGTTACATGGACAACAAATGCCATCACTTCGTGGCCTCAGGTGGAGACCCAGGCCAAGGATACATGACTATGACCAAGGATAAAGGACAGAGCTACTGATCAGTCCTGAACAGAAAGGCAACAGAATGGCCTGTTGTTTCCCCAGCCGCACTTCTACACCGAATTTCCTGCCCTGAAATGCTGTCCACGGCCAGGACAAGGAGCAGAAAAGAGAGTTCTTTCAAAATTAGCATACTAGCGTATGGGGCTGGTGGGAGTCGGGGATGAAAAGAAGGATCTTGGAAGAGCTCCAGCTATTTTATTCCTGCTTTTTCATTCCAGTTTGGAGATCTGGGACACATTGATTCACAACTTTATAGTTCTTATTCAGCATTGATTTATGGGCTGACCAATCTGGGCCTAATCAGTCAGAGAAGGATTGAGTTTTTTTCTTTTTTGTCCAATAATGTTATATTTATGAGTCCATGAAGTGCACCGTGGCTGCTGCGCTGCCTGGAGTCAATCGAACAGAACTTCTAAGATCTCAGAGAGGGGGGTTCCCAGACCATTTTCTGCCCTCATCTCATGCTTAAAGCTCCACCATACATTAGAGGCCCCCAGTGTCATCTCGCGTTTAAATGCCAAACGGCTTGCCAGCAAATCTTTAACAACTGTGAACAGCTATAACAGTCTCAGATGTCCATGGCTCTGTGCATCTGTCAGTCTTTTTTCTCCTCTTTCCTTCTCTGACTGTGGAAGTAACTAACCCGCAGCTGGATGCTCACTGGATATTTCACAGCTGCGGAGACCAGGACAGCATTGATTCGCTCAGAGAAGCCCAGCCAGGGCAGTGCGGAGTTCAGCGGGTTATCATGCGCTTCCGGCTTGATTTGTGGTTATTCTGGTTCAGTGACTGTAAAGAAATGAGCGGCCTGGCTAGACAGGAACTATTTGAGAAGCCTGCCATGGAGGGGAGGCAACAGAAACACTCAGATCGCAAGCATCTTTATGTTTTTCTTTGACTGGAAAGACATTTTCCTTGTCACACTCTTGGCAGCTGTCTGTTCTCAGTCCGCAACTCTGGTTAGCCCCAGCCGAGTCATCTGCAAGATGCCTCAGGCGGCAGTTTCCCCGCCTCCCTGCCCTACCGTGGGTACCAGCAGTAAATGTCTCTCACCAGCCTCGACTCCCCAATTCACCTGACAAAGGGTTCCACTGCGTGATTTATCCTGAGGAAAGAAAAATTCAGCAGCAGCAAGAAACTTCTCAGAAAAGCCATAGGCATCTGACAGATGAAGGAAGAAAGCTGCTAGTTCTACCTTTCAGAATCTGAGCCTACGAAACTGACCAGATCTACCCATAAAGAGGGAGTCTTCGACGTCCTAGAAGAACTGCCAGCCACTGCAGGGTGAACGATCTGACAGGTCATCAAGGTCAGGGATTAACAAACTTTTTCTGCAAAGGGTCACGTGGTAAATATTTCCAGCTTTGAGGGTCACCTACGGTCATTATCACATCTTCTTCCCTGTGGCTTAAAAATGTAAAAGTCATTCTCAGTTCACAAGCTGTACAAGAGCAAGTCACTGGCCATAGTTTGCTGACCGGTCCCCACTCCCCACCCGTGGTTTAAACAAACTAAAATTGTTTTTATTTTAAATTTTACATCCACTCCCCTGTGTGTACCCGCATGTACCTGAGTGTGTGGCCTGACAGCTCCAGACAGTCCCAAAGAGCCACACCTCACCTTCATGGGGTGGAAGTAACACTGGAGAAACTCACTCCAGGGAGCCAGGATGTGCTGTGGCAGAAAGAACACAGCCTTCAGGAGACATGAGGCTGCCTCCCAGCTCAGTGCTACATGTCTTCTGAGCCCCGAGCCAGTCACTTGCCCTTTGTGACCCATCCGAGATCCATTTACAGGGTGAAGGGGGTCAGGCTAGATGATGTCCAAGCTCCCTCCCATATGCGACATTTCCTCTAGGCATTCCAAACTCATTTAGGAACAAATCAGGTTGTTAAGAGAAAGGAAAGGATACAAATATCTTCTATGTGTTCACTCTAGCTCAAATCACAGCCAACTTTGAGGTGATCAACCCCCGCATCAGAAAACCCCCTTTGGGAGCAGAGTGGCTGGCACAAGCTCCACTCAGGGAGACCCAGGAGGAATGCTTGTCAGCATGTGGGTGCCGGCCACCCCTGCCGTGCTCACCATGGAGACAAGCCGTGCAGCCTGCGCACCAGGCCAAGAATCTGGGCAGCTCAAAGGAGCCATGCCATTGTGGGCAGACACCGAGGCTCCCAGAAAACAAGCAAAGGCGAGGCCTGGAAGCTGCAGTGGAGACAGGTCATCATGACCTTCCCTCCCGGGCCAGTGCCAGACTGGCCAGCGGACAGGTCTTCCTCTCCATCCAGGCAGCCCAGGCGGCCCTTAGGAAGTAAGAGACGAAGCTCACTACTGCCAATGTGGGCCCCGGAACTGCTCCCTCCATCAGCATGTATTAGGTACCCGCTACATGCCTGGATGGCATTGGGCACTGTAGGGACAGGTTAAACAGGCACAGTGTCTACTCTGGAAGGAATGGCAGGGTCGGAGAATTAGCACCCTCCAGCAAGCACATGGCCAGTAGAAACAGTACCTTGAGCATTTTGAAGGAAGAAGCTGGAGCTGAAAGCCTTGAAAGATGTTCCTGGTGCCTCTCAGCAGGGGCTGTGCACATGTATTTTATGGAAATGGTTTGAGTCTACTGGGTACCCTGCCAGCCTCATCCATGAATGCGAAGGTTAGAGTCAGCCTGCTTGAGCAAAGGAGAAAGGGGGACCTTGCTTTGTAGGAGGCTTAGTAATAATTTGGTAGCTAATGCCCTTGGACCTCAGGATACTAATGCGGTCACCATAGAGACCTAGAGAAATCCTTGCATTTCCTAATTTTCATGAAGAGTTGATTGTTGAAGTCAGATGGTCCGAGGGGGCAAAAGGAGGGTGATGACATACAGTAACAGCCAAGTCACGTTGTGCATAGAACGTGATGAACAACATTGACCTTAAAGGGCTTAGGGGCCATTGGTGCTTCAGAGCATCAGGTTGGCATAGCCCACTGGCTTCCCTCCTCCTCTTTCCTGTACCTTGTCCTCTCCTTCAGTACCTCCTTTCTCCCTCCCCACCCGACACTGATGTGGCTGGTGTGGGATGAGGGTCTTGGTAAGGTTCCTTGTTTTCCAGGTTTCTGCTGCAGTTTCCTGGGATTTTCTCATTTTTCAGAGACCTATTAGTTCCAGAAAGCAACTTTGCTGCCAGCCGGCAGGAGAACCACTAGCCAAAGGCAGCTCAAAGTCCCAAGGCTTTGACCCACCACCAAGAGGAAGTCTAATGGGAGAGGCAGCTCCAGGTGGATGGCCCAGCCAGGGCCCTGGAGACAAACAGGTCCAGTCTCTGTTCGGTACCAGCTGTGTGACCATGGGCAAGTCACTTGACCTTTTCATGCCTCAGTTTCCTGATCAGTGAAGTGGGAGTGATAGGCCCTATCTCCCAATCTTGCACACAGGATTACTGCAAGGAATAAATGCGATCCTGTTGTAGAACACATAACACAGGACCTGAAAGGGACCCAATAAATACTTATGCAGATGTCCTTCTGGTAAAGGAAGATGGCCGAGGGCCAGTTCCTCGGAGGTATGTGGCTATGGTTGAATGTCTATGTCCCTCCAAAATCCGTATGTTGGAACCTAAGACTCCATGTGACAGTATTAAGAGGGGGGGCCTTCTGAGAAGTGATTAAGCCATGAGGGCTCTGCCCTTAAAAAGGGCTAGAGGGAACTGACAAGATGTTTTTCCTTTGTGCCCTTCCACCTTCCACCAAGTGAGAACACAGCAAGGGTGCCATCTTGGAAGCACAGACCAAGTCCCTACCAGACATTGAGCATGCAGGTTCCTCAATCTTCCCCGTCCCCCGAACTGTGAGGAAATACATTTCTGTTTATAAATTGCCCAGTCTCAGGTATTTTGTTATAGCAGCACAAAAAGACTAAGACTTATCTGACTTGTGGGCAGGCTGCCTTCCTGTCTCCCAGAGTGGCAATGCACACTGGTTAGCCTGCCCTCGTCCAGGGTCTAGCAGCCCACCAGGAAGGTCCAGAAGCCCCGTCTGTCTGTGCTCTACAGCAGAGCCACTTCTCCAGGCCAGTCTCCCATAGCATGCTCTAGTGACATAGCCTGAGAGCCAGGAGGTGGCAGTCACCACAGGGTTCTACCTGTGGCTAGGTCCAGAGAGCCAAGCCTGCCTCTGATGGCATGAGCACTGCCCACGTCACTCTGTGGTGCCCCATCTTTGGGGCACAGCCTCCGTGGCTGTGACAGTTGCTCCCTTTAGCTATCCCACCGCTTTGATCCACAGTACTACTCGCACTGATCATTTGCCTACTTGCTGTCGGCTGCGTTCCCAGCCTTCTTTGCTCAGCTCTGGCACAGCAGGGTGAGCCTGCACATGCTGCATTTCCCAGACGCTCTCCAACAGGCTTTCAGTTAGGTTCTGTGAAGAGGAGGCACTGCCAAAAGCCTGGCTGGTTCCTCCCTGCTGGTCTCTGGTTGGGTCTCAGGCAGTTGTGACAGTGCTGTTGACACTCAAGGGTGACAGTGGCAGTGGATGCAGTGGCAGGGACTTTGGCCTAGCAGTGCTGCTCTTGGCTTCCTGCTGAAGCAGCTCAGTTCTATAGCCGTGGCTTGGAATCACATGGATTCTGGGTTCCGAGGAGACATTCCCCCTTGGCTCCTCCAGCCCACAGCTGGTCACGCTTTCCTGCAGCCGCTAGTCTTCAGATAACCTTACCTTACTCCACTGCTGCTCCACGCCTTCCATCACCCAGCTGCTGACTCCTCAATTAAACCCCCTCAGAGTGAAAACCGAGGAGGGCTTCTGTTTCCCGACCGGACCCATTCATCACTTGAGTGACCACAATTCATCTCTGCAACGTGCTTTTACACATCTCTGTTCTGGCCTGCTGTGTGCTGATTTTAAAGTGTAATCTTCAAAAGATAGCTTTGTTTTATTTCTTTTTTTCCCAGTTTTTAAATGGAGCTACCCCAAAACCCCAGTGTTCCTCCTACCATTCATTCACTTCCCTTTTTTGAACCTTGGTGAAGCCATAGCAGTACTGAAAAAAGAAGTTAGGAGTGTATGCCCTTGGACCCCAGCAATCATACCTCTAGGAATTTACTTATACAACATGCTCTTCAACAGAAGAGCAAAAAGATGTATACTCAGATTTGATACAGCATTGCATATAATGGTGAAAAATCAGAAGCATAAATAGAAAATTGGTTAAGTAAATTTTGCTTTATATATAACATTGTTTTTTAAATGAAAATATTTCTATCATCTATTATCAAGATTTAAAAAAACAGGTTACATAACAGCAGGCATGCTATGATCACAGTTAAGTGAATTTTCGCACACATAGGTATTTGTATGTAGACACGAATGTTTCAAAGAGTAGTTGCCAAAATATTGATGGTGGTTCTCTCTTAGGGGTAGATGAAACTTAGGGTGTGTTTTACATTCATAAGCTACCTAGATGGTTTCTGGCCAAAGATTTCAATCACTGCATCTGTATTTAGGATTTATAGGCCAGCTCCTCTTTGTTCTCGAAAGATTTTGGTCTTTTATTGTTGCCTAATGCAAAAGAAGTCAGTTAAAATCAGAATGAAAGACCATTCAAATCAACAAATGAAGAAAAACTTGATGCTCCCAGTTGCCGCAGTTGATCCAGTTTTGCTGTTTCTTCAGCTAAAGGGCAGATCACAGGGCAGGACAGTCACTTTGAGCCATCAGTTTTCCTCCTGAAGAAAAGAAGGGGGAAGCTCAGCTCAGACCCGAGTCTGATTCTCACGCTACCAGAGTTGCCCCCTCATGGTGCAGGACTCAGGAGAGAGGAAGTAATGATAACTCAATAACCATAAAAGGACATTTGGACAGCACTTTCCAGAATGCCAAGCCCCATCACATCCATGTCTGATTTTGATTGGCTGCGGTACAGCGGTGTTATCTCCATTTGATTCAGATCAGGAGACTGAGGCTTACAGGGATTAAAGAACACTCCCAAAGTCAAACCACAGGAAGCCTGGCCTCCCTTTGAATACTAATTTCACCACACCTTGCTGCCTCTCTCCACCTGCTTCAAATTGCTTACACGCTGGAACTGTTGAGAATCCCTCTATGTGTGAGAGCCAGGCTGGGATCCCCTGGAGGGCAGAGACCTTATCCTATTCATTTTGTGTCCGCAAGTCACCAGCATTGTAGCACTCAATAAATGTTTATTGAATTGAATTGAACTTCACTAAAACATTTTTGAGAAGTGGGAGGCTAGAGTTAACATACTCTGCCTTAAAAAAAAAAAAATCCCCAAAGCTTTGGTTAGAGTTGAGGAATCTAGGCACTGTGGGGTACAAAGACAAGCAGAAGCTCCTGGGGCACAGTGGCAACTCAAACCAGCAGGAATTCCAGAGCGGACAACCCCTCCTTACTTGCTACTCAAAGTGTGTCTTGGACCAGTGGCATCGGCATTTCCCTGGAGCTGTCTAGAAATGCTGAGTCTCAAGTCCCACTCCAGAGCTTCTGAATCAGAATCTGCATTTTCACTAGCTCCGCAGATAGTTCCTACGTATCAAAATCTGTGAGGCACTAAAGGTGCAGGAACTTCAGACTAGGCTGCTGCCTGCCCCAGAACACCAGCTGTGAGCCCTGCAAGTGCTCTCAGACGGGATTTTATTCTGTCCAATGTGGCCTCAAATGTGGTCTCAGACTCTTTCTTTTCTTTTCTTTCCTTTTCTTTCTTTCTCTTTCTTTCTTTCCTCCTTCCTTCCTTTCTTCCTTCCTTCCTTTCTCTCTTTTTTTCTTTCTTTCTCTCTTTCTTTCTTTCTTCCTTCCTTTCTTTCTTTCAAGACAGAGTTTCACTCTTGTTGCCCAGGCTGGAGTGCAATGCCCTGATCTCGGCTCACTGCAACCTCCATCTCCTGGGTTCAAGCAATTCTCCTGCCTCAGCCTCCCAAGTAGCTAGGATTATAGGCATGCGCCATGAGGCCCAGCTAATTTTTTTTAATTTTTAGTAGAGATGAGGTTTCACCATGTGTGTCAGGCTGGTCTCGAACTCCTGACCTCAAGTGATCCACCTACTTTGGCCTCCCAAAGTACTGGGATTATAGGCATGAGCCACCGTGCCTGGCCTTTTCATTTGTTTCTGAAGAAAGAGCAGCATAGCATGTTTGCTTCTAGCAAAGCAGCACACTTTATTAAAATTCTAATAGGAAGAGGAGGAGCGCCCTGCCTCACCATGGGAAGCCAGATCCTGGAGAGTGTGGGTCACCCCAAATTTTTGAGATTCTACGTAGGTTAGTGGATCTCAACCAGAGGACAGTGGCAATGTCTGGAGACATTTTTTGGTTGTCTCAGCTGTGGAAACTGGTCATTCTGGCAGTGAGTGGAGGCTGGGAATGCTGGCTTCCTTCATATTTATTGGCCCATCACTCCGGAACTTGGTTTCCACCCAATCCAAAGGTGAGAAGAGGGTTTGTCAACTTTATGGAGAACTGGGAATTATGGAAAGAATCAGAAGAACCATTAAAAGCTAATTGTTGACAAGTGTAGTGTCTCATGCCTGTAGTCCCAGCTACTTGGGAGGCTGTGGTGAGAGGTTCACTTGGTGGGAGGATCACTTGAGCCTGGGAGGTAGAGGCTGCAGTGATCTGAGATTGCACCTCTCCACTCCAGCCTGGGCAACAGAGTAAGACTCTGTCTCTTAACAAAAGATAAAGTATATTAAATTTAAAAAGAAGCTTACACTTCTCAAGTATGAGCAAAGTTCAGCAGCAACTCAGGGACTATGGAGGGCTGGGACAGGTAACGAAGCGCAGAGAGAAGGGGGCTGTGCAAGGAAGAAACGTGGCAGGGAGAACCCAACGTCTGGAAAGTGGATATAAAATTTTTTATTACACAAAATACTTTCTTATTCAAAAAAAAAAAAAAAAAAAAAAAGAGTTAAATACCCCCCCCCTTTCCCCAGATAAACCAGATTTTGTTTCACTTCTCTATTTTCCAAACTTCTTGAAATGTGGCTATGAGAAAAAAAATTTTTTTTCCCAAAAACGATTTAAACAAACAAACTTGTGAACGTCACCAGAGACGGATGCCCCACCGACGCCGCCAGGGAAGAAGGCTGGAGCTGGCCTCGCTGCTGCTTTGATGTCACACTTCGAGCTCCGCTCCCTCCACGCCACGCGAACGTCCCAGGTGCGGGATGTGAAAGAGCGTTTCTCTGAGCATCTTTCTCGGGGTCCCACCGCCGTCTCCAGGCACTTTTTCTGCCAGAAGCTCAAGACAAGAGAAGGGCATGTGAAGGGCCAGGAAGACGGGCAGGTGCCGCCATGAGAGAGCCGAGGAGGAGGGTGGGAGGCTCACCCGGGTCTGTTTCACCCTGAAACGCTAGGGCCCTGCGTTCCGCTAGGCAGCTGCGCAGAGCGACTGCTCCTCCCCGTGCGCTTCGCTGCTGGGGAAGGACAGGCAGGGATGCCTGGTGCCCGGATCCCTTGGTGCCCGGCGACCCCGCTTCGCCGAGCTCCATCAGTTGGCATCAGGAGCATCCGGCAGGGGCTCAGGCTGGGGCCCCAGGGACGAGGCCAGTTTGGTGAGGGCCCGCGCTATGACGTCCAGGTGGCCGTTCATGGTCCGCAGCTCCACCAGGATGTCCCCGACGTTGGTCTCCAAGCTCGCCGCAGCGGCGGGCCGGGCGCGGGGCAGCGGGGATGAACCCGCGTCCACGGTGCCCTCCTCCCTGCCCGCGGCGCCGGGGCGCGGGGCGCAGCTCCTTTCTAGGCCCTGGGCCGGTGCCAGGACGGGCGGCGGCCGCTCCCTGTCATCCCCGCGTGTGGCGGGAGAGGTGGTCGAGGGGCAGCTGGGCAGCCAGTCCACCAGGCGCGGGGCGGCCTCCGGGGAGGAGGCGACGACTGAGTAGAGGCCTGCGCGCCGGGAGGTCCCGGGGCCGGGAGGCGCGGATGCTGCGGGGAGCGGGGGCAGCAGCGGGGGCAGCACTGGCGGGCCAGGGGAAAAGGCCTGGGGCTCGCAGGAGGAGGAGGAGGGAGACGGCAGGGCGGCGGTGGAGGGGCCTGGCTCTTCCGAGGAGAGGAACAAGGTGGTCGAAGACTGGGAGTCCAAGGTACTGGGCTCCGAATCTGTCAAGAAAGAATGAGAAAGAATGACTCAGGCATGCATGCTCTTCAGCATTCATTGTGCACCAACTCTATGCCCAGCTAGCTCCATGCTAGGTACTTAAATGAGTGAGAAGATGGAAAGGTATTTCCTACCTCTCAGAGCTTGCAATTCAGTAAGGAAGAGTGGGCTATAGGAGCAGGTAATGGCTGGACAGAGAACAAAGTGAGGGTGTGGCACAGAGCATGGGTACTCAGGGTCAAAGAAGATCAGCGAGTCCAAGAAGGCATCCTGGTCTAGCGCTCCTCTGGGTCTCGAAAGGTGGCACGGGTGTAAAGACTGAGGCAGCTCAAGGCAGGGGACGGTGGCTGCATGTTATCTGAAGGCAATCTTCCCAAGGGCAGCCCTTGAAACCTGAGACAAGAAGACCCTTCCCCAAGATGGCCAAAAGCAGAACTGTATTAAACAGGTGACCCGCCACTGCCCCATCAGAGCAAGGCTCTCCGGTGGAGGAGAACGAGTACAGAACCGGAAGCCAGGAGACAGTGCTGATTCTTGCTCCGCCGGAAAACGCCGTGGAACCTTGGCAAAGCCCCATCCCTCCCTGGAGGCTTGGTTTCATCCTCCCATCCACATAAGAAGGTTGGGCCCAGTGGCCTCTGGGGCCCTTCAGGACAGATCATCCTGCCTTCAAAAGTCTGCAGCTTGAAGCACTGATCTAAGCTCACAGTGGGCGCACTTAAAAATCTGGAAGCACTTTACCGACTGACTCTTCTTAGTTCTCCCCTAATCCCTGGAGCTTCCAGGTAGAAAGCAGGCGGCAGCTGTTTGTGACTGGGTATGGAAACGAGGTTTACCAACCTCAGATCAAAGTAGCCACATGAATGAGAACTACCTTAACTCAGCTATCTCAGCCACTCTGGTGGCTGCCACTGAGGAGATGGTCCATGCTCACCCTGGGAGCAGTTCTGAGTTTTACCGGTCTCAGAGGCTTCTCTCCCGGTTCCAGCTAGAACGTCTGTGCTTGGCTTTCTGCATTGTCTATTTGGGTGCCCACCCTGGCGCCACGCCCTTCAGGGATTCCAAGCTTTTCAAAGGCAGAACTTGGTCGAGTACCTCAGCTAATTATCTTGGGGAGGGTGACCTGATGAAAGCGTCCATGAGTAAACACATCCCCGCTGCCTGCAAACATGTGTGCTCTCACCCTCGTCATGGGTGAGCTGTTCCTTCATCTGGTGTCTGGCTCAGACTCAGAGAAGCCCTAGTCATCTGGGAAGAGGTTGGTCCCTCATCCCTCCAACAACGTTCTCACAGAGCTTCCAGGGCCCAGATGTTCAGATGTCCAGTTTGTGTGGGAATTGTGTCTGGGGAGATTCAGAGAGGCAATTATTCCTCAGACAACAGCATTTGAGAAGCCAGCAATGTGCCTGAGAGCTTCTCTGACGGTAAAAGTTCATGGGACCAGGCATGGTGGCACACGCCTGTAATCCCAGCACTTTCGGAGGCCAAGACAGGTAGATTGCTTGAGTCCAGGAGTTTGAGCTCAGACTGGCCAACATGGTGAAACCCCATCTCCACAAAAAACAAACAAAAATTAGCTGGGCATGCTGGCATGTGCCTGTAGTCCCAGCTACTCAGAAGGTGAGGTGGGAGGATTACTTGAGCCTGGGACGTTAAGGCTACAGTGAGCCGTGATTGCACAACTATGTCCAGCCTGGGCGATGGGATGAAATCCTGTCTCAAAAAAAAAAAAAAAAAAAAAAAAAAAAAAAGCCCATGAGTACTTCCTGCTGTAGACTTTCACAGAACTGCCTCTCCTCCACCAAAACTAAATTTCCCCAGGTATCTGTGAATATCTTCTTTTATAAGCCAAGAATCATGGCTATTTCTAAGAACCTAACCACTATGAGTTGAAAATGATAAAACAGAAACTCCACAAACTGTTTTCTCTAGTTTTACTTGAGAAATGTTAATGAGTTTCACATATCCAATTCTCGCAGCAGACAAAAAACCTCTATATTAAACAAATAGAAGTCTAATTTGTAAAATGAAACAGAGGCGAGCACACAGAATAGTGTAGGGTAGAAGCAACTTAGAGGCCTAATATCATAAAGGTAGTGATAGCAATAATGCTGAGATTTATCTGGGCTACCAGGGTTATAAAAAAGGTGACCTTGGCTGGGTGCAGTGGTTCATGCATGTAATCCCAGCACTTTGGGAAGTCAAGGCAGGCAGATTATGAAGTCTGGAGTTCGAGACCAGCCTGCGCAACATGGTAAAGCCCCATCTCTACCAAAAATACAAAAATTAGCCAGGCATGGTGGCGAGCACCTGTAATGCCAGCTACTCAGGAGGCCAAGGCAGGAGAATCACTAGAACCCAGGAAATGGAGGTTGTAGTGAGCCAAGATTGCACCACTGCACTCCAGCCTGGGTGACAGGGTGAGACTCCATCTAAAAAAAAAAAAAGAAAGAAAGAAAGGAAAGAAAAGGAAAGGAAAGGAAGGAAGGAAGAAAGAAAAGAAAGGAGGAAAGAAATAAAAAGAGAGAAAGAAAGAAGAGAGAAAAAAAAGAAAGGTAACCTCTCTACAGCCATCAACTTAATAGTCCCCAGCAAATCCTTGAACCAAAGTGTACTGGCTCAGTGCAGGTAAAGATGTCTCAAAAAAAAAAAAAAAAAAAAAAAAAAAAAAAAAAAAAAAAAACCCTTCACTGTTGTTTCAGCTAAAACTTTAAAACACATTTTTTAAAAAAACGTTGTCAAGACTTAACCCAACCACACTGGTAAACAGAACTGAAAATCAGAATCACCTTTTTAACAAGCCACATTACCTCCCAGAACTTTCTCCTGGCTGTCAGGAAACTTGGTTGCAGCCCTAGCTCAGCTAAAATTGGCTAAATGATTTATATATGTCTTCCATCCAAGCAACTGCTCATTTTATCCCAAATTTGGTGCATGACCTTTCTGAATCAACGACATTTTTATGCATCTTTGGGGATTTCTACAAAATAATATCAGAGTCTTGCTGTACAAACATAGGTCTTTGTGGAGGCTGGGGCCTCTCAGGTACACAAAGTTGAGTTCCTCAGGCTCCTTAATTCCCTCTCTCCACCCTCTGCATGGTCTCCTGCTTTGCTAACCTTCTGAGCATGATGACTCTGTGACATTTTGTATACTTTTTTTTTTTGTTAACTATAATTTAAACCTAGTGAAAATGGAGATATTGCTTATTTCATTGTATGCTGTACCACCAGGGCCTCAACAGTGCCTGGCGTATAGTAGATGTTTAATAAATACTTGTCGACTGAAGACCATGTAATGATCATCAGCCTAGAAGCATGACTCTGAATGCAATAAACAGATCCAGCTGAATGTTGTACAGAGATTCAGCACTCCAGGTATTTATCGAGCCTGTGCAATATTGGGGACATATTTATATTTTTTTAAATGTGTTTCTTGTTTATCTAATATTCAAATTTAACTGTGCATCCTATATTTTATCTGGTAGCCTCATAGGAGGCTGACATTTTCATCCTGCCTATTTCATAGACGAGGAAACTAAAGCAAAGATGGGCTAAATGTTTTTACACAAATTCAGAAGTTAGAAGGAATCTTGCTGTCATTTGGATTCATTGCTTAAAACGGGGAAATAGAGGCCTGTAAGTCACTTGCTGTTTAGTGGCACAGCTGAGAAGAGAAGCGAGAACAGAGAGAACAGCGTCTCCACTCTCCCAGTTATCCCTTCAGGATCCTGATCATTCAGTCATGGAACAAATATGTACTAAGAACCTACTGTGTGCCAGGTGCCAAACTATACTCTAAAACATAGCCAAACCAGGCAGAGACCCTACCTGAAGGAGCAGATAGGGTCGTGGGCTCTCTGTCCTCCCACAGAATCAGAGGGAGAGCGCACAGAACAGGAAAGCTCACCAAGTCAGATTGCCTCTCTGCATATTCAAACCCAGCCAGCAGATCAGATTAGGACGGAAATCCAAGAGAGCCACACAGCAGACACCCACCAGCTACAGTTAGCACTGATTTGCTTACAGTTTTTAGCCTTATTCTCAAGAAGGCAGACCAGAGGCTGCGGTGTGAGCCTTTGCCACCCAGCGATTAAGTGCGAACTTTCCATCATAGCACTTCTCTCTGCTTTGCCACCCCTGTCTCCTCATACACATGATTGGTTTTTGAGGGGAGAGATGCTACTTCTTGAGGTTAAGGAAGTGAGATTTCACTCAATGTTGGTGATTCTGGTTCCTTCGAAACCTGGAAGTATCTTTGCAAAAGTCACTTTTAAAAAAATACATAACTAACAAGCATTCAAGAAATGTTCGGGGTCTCCAGAAATTTTTTTTAACCTGCAAATGAAAATACTAACAAATCACTATTTCTCACTTATAAAACTGTCCAAGTATTCTTCTGCTAACACTCACTGTGAACAAGATTGCCAGGAGAGAAGCATTCTAACACACTAATTGTAGTTGAGTAGATCAGTACAGCCTCTCTGGAAAGCAACTTAGAAACATGCATGATACTGTTTAGTGAGACAGGGAAATCGCCAAAACACGTTATGCAGATGAGTGCCACTGCTTACAGGAAAATGTGTGTAATAAAGATTGGGGGAAAATGCATGGTGATGTCAGGCATGTTCGGCATGTAATGGGACTGTAATTTTCTGAATTTTCAAAGATTTCTGCAGTGATTCTGCATGGATATGCCTTCCCTCATCACTGACCTCTTAGCAGAAGGTGACTGCTTCCTACCAAGCCTGCTCTCAAGGTCTTCTGACCACTTTCTCTTCAATCTTGTTGCTGAGCTGAGCTGAGCTGAATGACTTGGCTGGCAACTATGCACCTCGAAAGGCCAGTTATTTGAGGGTTTCTTGTGGGGGTAGTGGGGGGCCGCTAACCTTTTTTTACATCCGTTTGGCACTCCCCACCATGGACATCCACCAGCCTGGGGCTCAGGCTTCCTCTGTGGAAGAGTCGAAGTGTGCACCTGGCTATGGGAACATGTGGTTTAT